CGCAAACTGACACGTGACACATCCATGAAAAGTCACTTGCAAAAGCTTCCCCCAATGGCAGCGCCTTAGCGTCCTACTGCGAACGGTTGCGAACGGTTGCGGACGGTTGCGAACGGTTGAGGACGGTTGCGAACATAGAAACAACGGATCGCGAACAAGACTCTACCCCCAGACCCCCAGAGTTAAACGAGAACCCTTCGCTACGCATTCGGGAAAAAGAACTTCTTGGTACGCCTTAATTACCTTCACCCCAATAGCAAAGTGCTTCATCAATGAATTTTTGTCGGCGTTGACATCGCTATTTGTTCGGCCACACTCCTCTCCAGTAAACCGGGCCACAGAGACCAGCCACAGAGTTCAGGGGCGCGGCCAAGACAAGGACAAGAGGAGGACAAGACCCGGACACAGACAGACGAGGGAAAGAAACAGCGAAACGGACATAGAGAGTAAGCAGAGACAGCGTGAGAGCGAGGGTCTCAGAGAGAGAGAGAGAGAGAGACAGAGAGAGAGAGAGAGAGACAGAGAGAGAGAGAGACAGAGAGAGAGAGAGAGACACAGAGAGAGAGAGAGACAGAGACAAGGCCTGGACACAGAGCCCAGCCACAGCCAATATTAGTCAAAAAACGATTTCTTGGTACGCCCTACCTTCACCGCAAGAGCAAACTGCTACATCAATGAATTTTGGTCGGCGTTGACATCGCTATTTGTCTGGCCACACTCCTCTCCAGTAAACCGGGCCACAGAGACCAGCCACAGAGTTCAGGGGCGCGGCCAAGACAAGGACAAGAGGAGGACAACAGAGCCCAGCCACAGAGTTCAGGGGCGTGGCCAGTGAGTGTGGCCAGTTCTTTTTTTCTGAGGTAGAACACCAGCAGTAAACTATTTGGGGAATAGAACCCCAACAGTAAACTTTTTGGGGAATAATCATTTGAGAAGCTTGTAAATGGCACCCCTCACAAGGGCCGGTCCCCCATCAGAAACCTGCACTGCTACCCCCTATTATTTTGACCCTGTGTCCCTGGGTCCCTACTACTATTACTGCTGCTACTACTACCACGACGACGACGACGACGACGACTACTACTACTACTACTACTACTCGCTTCTTAGCCGATTAGCAGATTATTCAGGGGAGGTGGACCTCGTGAGTGGTATCTCATGTCTTCTTGACCTTGTTGACCTACCACGTGGTGGTGGGGGTTTATTAATATGGTCTTGACATTACCGTTGTTTCCTTTTTGGAAGGTCGCTTCTTGTGGGCTTCTCTGGTATTTTTGAAACGAACTCCTTGCGATGAATAGAACTATTGGGTTGCTTTCCTGTTTGAAGGTTTTCAAGGTTTTTCACAGGGTCACCAATACTTGGCCCTGTGGCGTCAATTTTGCGAAAAAAGGGCTACTCACAACATACTTTTGGTTTGTGCACCGGTGGTTGTTTGGAGGGATCTTCGTCAATGAGTTTCATTATTGTTGCTTAGCTTCCGCACCGCGTAACAACTCGGACTTTGGAGCGGCTAAGGAATGGTGATGGCGAGATTGATTTTGAAGAGTTCCTTGACTTGTTGAAAGCCACTCCAGACAAGGATACATCCCCTGACATTTCACCGGTGCAATCGTTTCGCGTCAGGAGTGCGCAATAGAAACAAAGCTGGCAGGGAGATCGATGCTGAAGGCCTCAAGGGCTTGTTGGCCGATATGAATCCAGCTTGAAGTGAGACACAAGAAGGTGAGGTGACACAAGTTCAGCTCCTCATCAAATTTAAGACTGTGCCAAGATCGTACAGGTGGCCACGTGCCTTGCAGCCTGCATCGCCAAGCGACTCGCATGGCTGCTCTCTCTTGCAGCAAGCAGATCTTCAACATCAGTCGCGTGCACAATACAAGGTCAACACTTTTGGAGTGTAGTAGTGCATACGTACACAGAGAAATACAGTCATGCCCGCCCATACTTATGCAGCATGCTGCTTGCAGTGCCTCTATGCATCTCGATGCGCTTTTGAGGTAGTACATGCAGCAGGCGACTGATGCTATTCGTCAGTGTACCTGCTGCTGAGGCTGAGTGTGGACACGGATGCACACAGCCAGCTCAAAATTGAGGGGCAGAGTCGGCAGAGTTGCTTGATCAAGAACTTTGCTCAGTCAACGACAGATTCTGATGTGCACCTCTTCTAGCCATTTCCAGTCCTTAGACAGCGAAAAAAACAAAACATTGCGGCGCCGCTACAACTATGGCTAAGCAAGTCTGAGATCTGGTTCGCGACAGGGTCAACTGATTGTAGTACCCTTTTTGCGCAGCAACTTAACTCTCTGTTGAAAGTGCAACCAAGAACTACCACGTAGTTGTGCAAACTTTCGCCAACCACTTCATAGTTGCAACATGCGATGGGCAAGGTTAGCGAAATGCCAAAGGGTGCCGTGGAAACTGGTTTCATTTCGGTGGCGAAACTATGCAGCAGAGGTGGATTGGTGACTTTAACCAGCAGTTGCAGTCCAAAAAATCTTCTCGTGCGAGGCTTGGCATGAAATCTCCGTGCACAAAGGCTTGAAAATTCAGGCGCGGATGTAACTGTTTGCGACGCCCAACCCTGAAGACAGTATCAACTTGTACGAACTGAGGGTGCTTTGTGTGTGGAACGACCTCCTCTTCAAATCGTGGAGCCGGACTACAAACAGAAGTGGAGAGCTTTCAAAGAGGACAGAACGGTCAGAACATTCAGGGAAGAATTAGGAATGAGAGTTTGGGAGATTCTAAAGCATGCACTGTAAGACTCGGGTGGTTTGTCGTACTTCCAACCTTCCAACGGACAACTGCTATGAGCACCACATTCACTACTTGAAATGATGAGTCAGTATCACTGAAATTAGCTTTCTACGTGGTAAAGACATAGAGCGGTGCTTGAGGGGCATTTTCAGTCAGGCCTGGGATTTGCGCACTGGCAATCATTTAACAATGGACGACGAAATTGATCCTTGGCCAACTTTGCTTGAATTGATGACGCAACAAAGGTGGACTGACTTGCCTGCAGAAACCGACTCAACTGAGGTCTTTATGCGATTTCACTTTCACTTTTTACAGGACAGATGTTGGACTGCGGCTCAACTGAAGAATGGAGAAACTATGGCGTGGCAATGTTCGCTTGCGCAACATGGTTTTGCTTGGTTTGGTGCGGAGCTCCTTCCAGGACAAAGCTGCGACGCAGGCACTGGCGGCTGGCGAAGCCCCAGCTTTGCAAAACCCTTGGGCACAGAGGAAATGAATTGCTTCCTGCAATTTCTCGAGGACCAAGGTCTAGCCTAGATTTTTCTCTCACTCTTGGTGTTTTGCCGACATAGGCAACACAGGCACCATTTGCCTCGAAGATTCGAGTCACCCGAGCGGTCCCTTCCTTCCACTTGCTCACCTGCTCAGGCTCAGAGGTCTTGGAAGCAAGAGTGGAGGCGGTCGCAAGCGCTGGGGACCCCAGAGGAAGAACGAGGAAATCATCAAAAACGACTTGAGCCGATCAAAGAGTTCTAATGATTCTAATGACTTCAAGGCCTGTGAGATGAACTTCATCAGTGGTTAATTTGCGAAACTATACATATTGACGCAGTGAAACTTAGAACGTATTCTGGGAAACATTTTTGCAGGTAGCCTTGTTCTAAATTCAATTTTTAGAACATTTGCTTTTTCAACAAAACTTAGAACATCCATATAGAACATGGATACAAAAGAACTTGCAACACAGGTCTAAAATCATTGAATCGGCTGCAGGACATACAACATAGAAAGGGGTGTATACATATATATAAGAGGTGTGTATATATATATATATACTTTGAGGTTGGGTAGCTCAACCGTCAGGAAAGTGACTCTCGAAGTTCACTAACGCAAGTGGAACTCGCTCAAGCGGCTTCCGCGGCTTTTCTCGCGGACACGTGGCCATGTGGCTCAGTAGCACAAGCCCTCCCAAGCTAATGGGAGAGAAAAGGGTGGTTTGAACCACAAAAGCGGCCAGCTTCGGCTCTCAAGAAACCCTATGCAGCTGCTACAACATGTGATGGCATCACATTCACACCGGTCAAAGGTGGTGTACTAGGTTGCAGCTGCAGCTTCGGCTTCTGCTTCTTCGTAAAGGTCTTGGCCGAGGTCGTGGTTTCCAGAAGGTGGAGGCGTACAGCAGTGCATCTGCTGCTTCTGAGGCTGCCTGGCTCTCTGCTGCCAAGCTGGATCGGGCGATCCTTGGGAGTTTCCATGATCTCCAGTCGATCAGGTGGTAACCTCCTTCTGAGCCTGTTGTCACTGAGTGGTGCGTCATCACTACGAAGTGACCTCCTTGCGAAGTCAGGTCGGCTCGTGAAGCAAATGCTGCGTCGCTGTAGACAATGAATGTCATTTCTTCCGGCTTGCCCAGCTTTTGGAATCGTAGGCCCACATCTGAGTATTGTTTGGCGTATCGTAGGCACTTGTTGGCTTCTCGAAGAGTCGAGATGGTGGCGCGACTCACTTGTCCAGCGAGCATGCTGGTCATGGCTTGGACATGGGGACTGCTCTGAGTGGAAGGCCATTGGAGTGCTCCGACAATGCCTCGCAACATTGTGCGTTGCTTTTCTGTCACTGGTTGGTCGTTGGGGCCATCTTCAAAGCTCATGGGCTTTTGCTTTGCCATGTAGGCAGTATGTTGTAGTTCATAATGGTGTTCGTTGATCCTTTGGATCTTTGCCCCGCAGTGCTCTATGTCTGTGTTCTGTTCCCAAGCTCGAAATTGAAGGTCTTCCGCAGGGATGCAATGAACTTTGCACAGTAGGTGTTGTCCATATCGCCACATCCAAGGATGTCGTCCACGTGCAATCCGAAGATTCCGACCAGTGGTGGGTTTTTGACTGTATTGCCATTGTCGTCGGTCTGGCGAACCCAGGAATCTTCTTTGGCCTCATGATCATGGATCAGGAAGAGGCACGGATCAAGTGGGTGGACTGTGGCTCCTAGGCGCGTGATGCGCTCTCGTGCTTCACTGTACCATGCTCGGGGTGCATCGCGCAAGCCGTACATGGGCTTTTTGAGCTGCATGAGGGCGTGGTCGCCGTCGGTGCCAGTGAGGCCGAGGAGTCGTCTGGCGTCTGGTGGCAACTTAATCCATAGTGTGCGGTGGCTTGGGTGCTCTTTCCCTTGAAGGAATGCCGTGCTGACATCTGCGCTGAGACTTGTCCAACCGTTGTTGGCGCAGATAGAGAGGATGTAGTTTCGTCCCATTCGACTCAGCGTTGGTGCATCGGTGCTGAGTTGGCCATTTAAGGCGTCGGGATCTTTGAATCCCTGGGTGATGAGCCTGGCTTGGGTTCACCGTTTGTGGCCATTTCGACCACTTCAAAATGAAGTGTGCCTTGAGAATTCGGTCACTCGGGACCGTTCCGTTGTCGTTGACCATTTCCCGAGCTCTTTCTTCTTTGCCTCCATGAAAGCGAGGCGATCAGCGAGCGTCACCCGTCGCTCGTTGAGCTGATCCTTGCGGGCCTTGATGCCCGCTGGGCTGTGGCCTGGTGTGCCTGTTTCTTCGGCTGGGTATGCCTGTTCGGCTGTTGGCTCGATGTATGTCTGGTGACCATGGCTGACATTGTAGAAAGCTTCATGGGCTAGCAGGCGGTAGGCTGGCGTGATTTTGAAGCTTGTCTGCCCTGTCCAGGCATAGGCTGTGGTTGTGTTGCCCTTCTTCTTCCATCTGTCGTAATTGTTCATGCTTGCTGAACTGGTGGTGTGCCGGTCCTTGCTGAGGTAGTGCACGGGCAGTGGGCATCCAACTGTTTCTTCGCTGGGGTCGAAGAGCTGGTTCCGTGGGATGTAGTGGCGGCGTATCAGCTTGTTGTTTTGGATTGTCCACTCGTCTTTGCAGACGTCTAAGGTCAAGAATCCATTTTCCAGCTTCCAGCCTGGTGGTAGTGTTGTGCCGTCGACCCTGTTGAGATCAGTCTCGTAGGTGCTGAGGGTCAATGCCATCTCCGAATCTGGTGGTGCCGGTCTGGCATATGGCATAGGACCTCGTGTTGTGGTGTGAGTTCTTGTCGGTGGTCCATACCTGTCATGTCCAGGTGCTGGTGGCTGTAGAGAGAGTGTTTCTTGTCGATCAAAACGTGTTCGCTGGTCGTGGAAGCTCTCTGTTGGTGCTGGTGGTGCATAAAGATGTTGCTGATGTTCTGGAATTTGACCGCCATCATAATGTACACTTGCCGTGGTGGCATGGGGTGTTGGCGCACCATGCGTGCTCGGTGGTGGTTCTGGTTCACCGGTGCTGTCGTGTCCTGTTGTGATCTCTGCAATGTTCAGCTCGGCTGCTGGAGCTCCAGGTGATGTGTTCTGGTATGGTTGCTCCATGTCATTAGCTCGGGCTGTATTGGTCTCTATTCATCTCCAGTTGCCTGTTCATCTCCGTCTTCCTCCATAGGTGTTGGAGTGGTAGTGGGAACATTTGGAGGACTGGTGCTAGAACTACTGTTCTCAGGACAAAGGTTGTGCTTCCTGTCCACTGGAATGGCATGGATCTTGTGGCATTCGGCAATGTCCAGTCATCTTGGAAGACTGTTCTGTTTCGGGCCGGTTGGTGTGGCCTCATGATCACCGTTCTCCGGATGTCTTGGAAGTTCTGCCATGGTGCCCTGTCATCATTGGTTGGTGTGTATAGTGCTTGTCTTGGTGTCACATGGATGCGGTGCCATGTGATGCCGTCTTCTTCAATGTCCCAGTAGTCCTGGTGGGCTGGTTGTGGATCTGGTGCCATAGCTTCAGTGTCTGGCGCTTCGGGCAATTCCTCCTCGTCGTCGGTGACAATCTCTGTTCGTTTCCTTTTGTTGGACTTGATGAGGTCAGTGTACAGCGTAGTGCTTCTGCCTCGGATGTTGTCCAGTGCTTGTCGTGCTCTCTGTAGTGGATCTGTGTCGCTCTGGTGGTTGAGGTCTGGTGGTAGGTGTTCTCCAGAGACTCGTAGGAGTGTTGAACCATGTGTGATCCAGTACGTGTTTGTTGCTGGGCCGGTGCGGCCTGGTTCTGTCATTACTACGGTTGCTGGACCCTTCCATCGGATCTTTGGACCTGCTCCTCCGGGTGCATCTCTCCAGTAGTAGACCAGTTGTCCTGTGGAGTAGGTGTACTGTACTGCTTGATGCTGTCTGAGGAGTGCTCGGCGTATACGTGCGTCGTTGTCTGCTTCGATCACTGAGATAGCTGCCTGTTTCTGTAGGTGTAGCTTCTGCTCCATGGCTTCGGAGGGTGTCAGCCTGCTGTTGGGAGGTCGTGATCCATTAGGACACCGGGTATGCGTGGGTTGATCTGAGGGATCACGTAGCATAGTGCTTGTGTGATTCGCTCGCGGGTGCTCATCCGCTGATCGAAGTCTTGTCTTTCTTGTTGTGCTGCTGTGAAGAGTTCAATGCCTCGTCGTAGGACTTGGTGTCGTCGCTCAAGCGCGCTAAGTCGTGTATGTGCTTGGCCTGGTGAAATCTCCAGTTGTATGCCGAGGTCGCTGGTCCAGGTTCTTGTGGTGTCTGAGCTCCATCCTCTGTGGTCGTCGACTTGGAGCAGTGTTGGTGGACCGAAGTGTCTGATCCATCCTCGTTCAAGTCCTTGGATGAAGTCATCCGATTGTTCAGAGTCGATGACCCTTGCGGACATGAACTTTGTGGTAGCGTCGATCATGCTGAGGACTGGAACTGCTTGTGGCTTATGTCCATTGTGAAGCCGTGGTAGGTGTATCCAGACTGTGTCTGCTTGTACTCTGCTGTTGAAGCTGCCTCCTGTTCGGAGTGTGCTTTTGGCCACTTGTGGTGGTGGTCGATGTGCGTGACACAGTTGGCAGTGGTGCTGCTGTGCTGCTGCCACAATCAAGGGACTGGCGTTCTTGCTCTTGAGGAGCTTGGTCAACTCGAGGTTGGTTGGGTGTCCCAGGTTTCTGTGTATCCTCTGGACTGTTCTCTGGGCTGGTGACCATTGTGTCTCTTGCAGTCGGGTGAGTATGCCTCGATTGCTGTCCAGCTGTTCGTTATCGTCGTAGACCTGTGGTTGTCGTTCTACCATTGCCTGTTGTGGCTGTAGTGCCAATTGCTGTTCTGCCGGTTGTACTGCATCATGTTCTGCCGGGTATGCTTCTTCGGTGGTTGCCAATACTCAGTGAGCATAAAGGTGTTCATGATCTGGGCCCACTCTCTGCACATGTCTGCGTTGTAGCTGCCAGCTGCTGCTGCTCTGTTGCCTATGAGTGGGGAGCTGCCCTCAATGGGGAGGTGGTAGTGGTTGTTGTTGCAGACTTGCTCGAACATGGAAGCCAGGGTGCTATCTGTGATGCGTAGGTTTGTTGGCTTCTTGATGTATTGTTCGTAGCCGTTGGAGTCTGGTAGGGTTGCTCCATATTGGCGTTGGTCCACATGTGCATCGTAGCCTTCTAGCTGTTGTAGAGTTGGTGTGTCCCAAGATGTCGCATACTTGGGGTGTTCGAAGATGGAAATTTGCTTTTGCTTGTGTTGCTTGTTGTGGATTGTCTTGCTGAACCGCAAGTGGGTTCCCTCTTCATGCTGCTGCTGTGCTTCCAGTCGTTGTTGATCTGCCGGTGTTTTGGCATTCAATCGCTGCAATGTGGACCATTTGGTGCAAGGTGGTGCGATCCAAACGATCTCTGGGCTCTGATGGTAGTACAAATGGATGAACTGCCTCTGGTGGCTGGGTTTGGTGAAGTCCCATCCGCTGAGGATGTCAAAGGTGCGGACTTTGTACCCAAGTTCTTCCATGTGTGTTGCTAGCGCTGCATCGCCAGCATAGACTTCCCAGAATTGCATCTGGCGGCTGTCGTGTGCTGCGAGTGTTGTCTCAAGGGTGTGCTTGTAGTATCGCGCCAGCTGTTGTTGGTGTAGTCGAAAACTGCGGACCAGTTTGTCCGTCAGAGTTCTGCGATAGCCGGTGTCATCTTCATCTTCTGGGTCTGTGGTGTCGTTTGTTTTCTCTTCGTTGGTGTTGTCATCATCGTTGGCCTGCGTGCCGTGTTCTCCCAAGTCTGGAGGTGTAAGGCCTGTGAGCTCAATGTAGTGCTGAAGTGTGTAGTGCTCTGCTTGTGCAGGGTCTTGTGTCAGCAGGTTGTAGGTCTCCTCCATCATGTAGTCAAACTCATAGCTGCTGTGGTCTGGTAGGTCTTGCAGACCTTGGTCAAGTTGTAGGAGATGTTCTCCTCTGGAGCCAGTGATGATGGGTGACCATGGGCCTTCATCAACTCGCATGGTGTCTTCCATGAAGTTGAGCTGGAGCTTCATGGCCTTGAGAATTGGCCTGCCGATCAAGAGAGGAGTTGAGCCAGGGACAACGAAGGCCTGGGTGCGGCCAAGATGGCCTTGGATGCAGACTGGCATGTGTACTGTCCATTGTGCTTCAAGGCTGTTGTCTCCGCCGAACTGCAGTGTCTTTTGTGCAGGGCGGAAGTGGAAGCTAGAAACATCGAACCCTTGTTCGTGGTAGCTTTCGATGTAGTTCCTGAGGATGTCATGGCCGAGGACCATGCAGCTTGCCCCACCATTCATGGCGCCGAAGAGTCCCTTTGGGATGCGCTGGTAGTCCTTCATTTCGAACTGGACCATCTGGCGGTTTCGGCCTTGGCCTTTTTGGCGGCGTTGGTTGGGCTGTTGGTGGTGCTTCTCTTTTTGAGTGCACTGCGCTGCAAAGTGTCCAGGTTGACCACATCGTAGGCAGGTCTTGGTTTGGTTCAAGGCGGTGCGGCCTCGACTCTTGGCATCACCCTTTTGTGGAGGTGATTTGGAACCCTGCCCTTTTCCTTTTCCTTTGCTTCCCTTGGAACGGGGAGGGTATGGCCTTTGTGAAGCTGTTGGACTCGATGAAGCTGTATTGTCGGTCAGTGCGACCACTGGATAGAAGCCTCTGTTGTTGCGCAGCTCAGCAAAGTGTCGCCTGGCATCCAGTGCCAGGTAGGTGGCATAGGCTTCCTCATACTCTGGGTCTTCTTGGTCCGGGTAGTCCTCGTCGTAGCCGGTGTAGTTGACTGCATCTTCATCAAACTCTTCTTCGTATGCCTCATCAGCATACTCTTCTTGGTTTTCTTCATAGTAGGCCTCGTCATTCTCAGGCTCGTAAGTCTCTTCAAAGGCGTCCATGTAGTCGTCCTCGTACATGGTGTAGGCCTGTGCTGGTTTCTTCCATTTGTTGAAGCTCTTTCCTTTTCCCCCAACTGGACGTTGAGAGTGTCCAACCTTTCCCCTGTAGCCCTGGCCTGGCCGTACAGGTAGTACATGGCTTCTTCAACCTTGCTTTCTTCGAGGCTGGAACCACATTGGCTTTGCGCCAGGTGTTTTTGGTCTTGTGACAGACCGCTTCTTCTCAACATCAGCCAACCCGTGATCTCGGTCGGCATCTTGATTCCATGCTTTTCAACTTCTCGTAGCGCTTCTCGATGTTCGGCGCAGTAGGACATCAGCGTCTGGTCGTAGCGCCTGGTGAGGCTGTAGAAGAACTTTTCGAAAGATCTGGGCTGTTCGACCCGTGCATCGTAGCGGAAGGTCTTGTCGAGGATTTCGATCACCTTAGTGTAAACCTCCATCTTTGTCTTCGCTTGCCGACTCAGCTATCGGCTCGACTTGCTTCCAGGCTGTTCCTGACAGGGTTGTCAGGAGGTTGATGACTCCTTCTTGTGGCTTCTTTTGCAGAACCATCTTCTTCTGGTAGAGGTGAATCCGAGCCCTCCATTCCTTGTAGTCTTGAGGCCTGTTGCTGAAGGTGGGCGCCCAAGAATCTTTACTTGCATCCACACTCGAGGATGCTGCAGCAGATGAACTTGCCATCGAGCTCGACCGGGATGTAGTAGCTAGCAGCACGCTGGAGCCCTGAGCCTTGCGGCTCCGCTACCAATTTGAGGTTGGGTAGCTCAACCGTCAGGAAAGTGACTCTCGAAGTTCACTAAGGCAAGTGGAACTCGCTCAAGCGGCTTCCGCGGCTTTTCTCGCGGACACGTGGCCATGAGGCTGGTTTGAACCACAAAAGCGGCCAGCTTCGGCTCTCAAGAAACCCTATGCTACAACACGTGATGGCATCGCATTCACATATACACATAAGGCTAGGAAATCAATAAGTCAGAAAGGGAATCAATAGGAACCAAAAGGAACTTACAAGGAGGCAATAGGGATCAAAAGGCAATTACAAGGAAATCACTAGGAACCAAAACTAATTCAACATCACATCAATGGAAGTCACACAAACTTAAAGAAATTCAAAGGAAATCAGTCGGAATTGGTATATAGATGTAGGAATTGGCTCGGGCCCTGGGAGGAACATGTACAGCCCACTTAGAACATTGGGGACAGAATTGGCTGTGATGTTCTAAATTTATGTTCTAAGCTTATTTTTTCTGCGAAATGCTGCTGATGTTATAAAATAGTGGGTTTTACTATGTTCTAAAATAGTTTTTTTGTTCTAAGTTTCGCTGCGTCACTATAATGCATGTCATGTGCTCTTCATGTCTTGGAGAGGAGTATTGGAGAACATTTTTTTTGATCAGGGGGGTCTGCCTCCAAGCTAGCCACCAGCGTCAGCACGGACACTTTGGTGGCAGCAATGAGCCCCAAGGCTGGGGAGAAAAATAGGTGGCCCGGTTTGAAGAATTGAGGGCTCAGAGTCGGAGTTCATGAAAATGTCAGGCCGCCAGAGGGCTTGATTCCCTGGTCGGAGAAGAGGACCATGTGCAGTCAATCTTGGCAAGTCTTGAGAGTCCAAGCGACCAATTTTTGCAGGGCGTTGACCTGGCGTTTCCTGAGCTTGGACGAAAAGCGGTCAAGCGGAGGAAGGCCTTTCAGGGATCAACTCTCAAGCATCACTAAGTCTCTGCTAGTTGATGCCCTGCAGGTGGAGAAACGAAAAGAAGAGAAGGCGCGGCTAGTTCAGACCCTATGAATTGACCCTGGCCCTTGAAGATTAAGGCAGGCAGACGTGGAGGTGAATGACAGGTAGATAGGAAGAAATTTCTTTGATGGTAGCAGACACACAACATTTGAAAGGAACTGCGAGTGCATTGCTAAGCGATCCATATCAGATTTTGGCTTTCACAGTTTAGGATATGTACGGATGTAGACACTGTTGGTGTTCGACATCATTGGTTTGGGTTGGGAACACACCCGCCTGGTCAGTGGCGAACTAGCAAGGAGGTATTTCAATGTACTCCTGTTTCAAGGTTATACGGTATACGAAGTTACTGTAACAAGAATCAGATTCTAGAGTCTAGACACCTGGCAGGTGGATGACTCTGATCAGCGTTCCTTGAGGCCGGCAATTCGTGCCAAAAAGCAACCAATCGGACGGCCGAATGGCCGAGTTTTTGTGAAGTTGGTGAGGCGGCTACGGAGTCACTCCTTGTTGGAGTCTGAGGACTTGAAAAAAAAAGTCGAATAACAAGTTCAGCTCAGTTCATCTCTCCCAGCGAACGAACAGGCTTTTTCTTGAACCTTGGTGTGGCTGAGGTTTTTGCTGGTTCGATACAAGAATGCCAAGCACTGGACTTTCCCAAAGGCAGGACTTTCACAAAGGTTATTTTCACCCAAACAGAGCAAGAACTTTCCCTTGGCCCTTCGGGATACTTTTTTGGCCTTGCAGTGTCCCTTGGGCTTGTCGCAGCTTGCTTGTTTCTTAATTTAGTCGTGATTCTCTCAAGAGGCGGACAGACTCCAGGGGCAGGGCATGCGGGAGACACTGTGAGCCTCTAAGGGCGCACGTGAAATACTATTTATACTTTGAAAGTGCAGTCCTGCATACTCCAAGGCTTGGATTGGCCGACAATCAACTGGGGCCAGATTTGAGACCTTATCTCGTGCCCCGAATGCATGCGTCTTTTTCCTGCGGCTTCTTGTCTATGATTGTTTTTCAGGTTGGTGCTTGTCCGTTCTCCTACCGGAAACGGCTGAGCAATCAAAATCCAGGAATCCAGGCCTGCCACTCCCCGTTTGCAATGACTCCAGAAGAGTGAATTGTGTTGGACCAGGGGCGCAAGATCTTCTACTACCGTGCTCGGCTTTTACCAAGCTCAGAGTTCGGCACTTAAAGCCTCGTGACCCGATGTAAAGGCATTCGGCATTCCTTATTGTTTTCATGCTAAGTGAGAGTCACTTCTCCTCTGACTTCCGAGGGTCGCTTTGCCTGAGACGACACCTGTGTCGGACTGGGCCTGGTTCAACCGGCAGGAGAGCCAATTGTGATGGAAGCAGCCTGTGATGGCAGCAGCCTGCAGAGGATTGAAATTTCCTCAGGAGTTGGAGAGCAATCTTGAAGAAGGGGAGTGGCCAATAGCTCAGTCGGTCAATTCAGTTGCTCCGTGTGAGGGTGCTAGCCGCTACATGGCCCATCAGCCTCAATGTCGGACCTAAAAAAAGGAGAACACACCAGTTTATATTGAGGTGCATTCTCCCGAATCCACTAGCTCTAAGTACACATGGTTGGCTTGCATCCTTCGGCATCTCAAGATCAGATTATTTTCCCGGTGATTCTCTTTACCAAAAGGATAACCACAAAAACTGGGCACAGACAAAACCAGGCAGGAGGCATCCAGGGAAAAAAGAGGCTCAGTTCGGCCACCGGCAAGATCTGTGACCGGGAGAAGGTGCAAAGAAAATGGACGTGAAACACACGACAAAAGAGCACCAGTCACTTCACCACTGAGTGCATATCACTGTCAAAACACGAAGATGTGCATGGAAACTGGGATATTTTACATCGAGTCTACTGTATTTCTCGACCAGCTAAAAAGTCACAGTCATCCATCGTGCCAACCATCTTATGCTCGTGGCACCTTGGATGTGAAACCTTCCCACGGTTGTGGGGACCCTGCAGTGGCGATTCGCTTCAATATGCATAATGTCGGTGAGTTTCTTGCGTCCGACGTTGAGTGTGCTGGCTACGCAGCCATGATCAGTGGGTATGGGGAGCTTGCATTTGCTTTGGCAAACCTGTTGTGTCTTCAGGCTTTGCAAATCGGGGATTGGCAACAGATGACAAGAGGGGGTTTGTTGCTTGCCTTGTACTTGCTCGGACCATTCACTGTCGTCCTGTGAAGTACGGGGGTTTGCAGTCTTCGTTGCAGACGCAAGTGATATTTCGATAATTTTCGATATATTTCGTATCGGCTCAACAATGCTTGCTTGACTTTGTCTATTCATATATGTTTGTAGTTTATAATTTGTTTGTATGTACAGCCCATATATACTCCGCTATAGGTACTGCAGACACGTGACTCTTGACGTATTTTGGCTCAAGGGAAAAAGGCGTTCCGTAACGTCGAAACCTCGTTTTCATGGTAGCGCGTGAGCCCGGTGAGAGCGAAAGGGACAAAGCGCTGCGCATCAAGGAAGAGAGACATAGTAAGGTAGAGACCTCAGAGGAGGAGGATCAAGAGATCCCGGGAGCGGCCGCTTCGGCCGCCCCGAGCGGAAAAGAAGAGAAGGAGGAGGAGCCTTTGCCAGCCACATCAGCGGCGGAACCAGCCGCAAACACCACTCCGGCGGTTGTAGAAGCTGCCGAAACAACATCAGCGGTTGAAGGAACCGCGGAAACAAAAGAAGAGGAAACAAAAGAAGAGACCACAAAAGAGAAAGAAGGAGGAGAAGAGGAAAAGCCTGAGCAAGACCCCATAGTAGAGCCAGAGGCTGAAGCGGCTGATCCAGCCGCACAGCCATCCTCATCTGGCCGAGTGATCGCCGACTTCCAAACCTCCCCAGAAGGTGTCAAAACAGGTTGGGAGGTTCGTGGCATTCACGCCAAATATACCCCAGCCAAAGTTGATCCCAAAGCACCTTGGAGGGTAAAGAAGAACATTTGGGGACAGGTCAAGAAGCATCCAGAGCCACAATCCGGATTTCGACTTCGAAGCAAGACTTCGCTTCAGTACCGGAGGCTCAAGGACCTGGTCAGGCTGGAGAAGAAGAAGGGTGTCATCACAGAGGATCTGAGGAGGCGCATCAAAGAGTTCGGAAAGGGGCGCACTCCACAAGAGATCAAAGAAGAGCGGGAAGAGCAGAAGGTCCGCAATCAAGAGAAGCGGACCAAGAAAAGGAAGACCTCAGAAGCGGCTGATCCAGCCGAGGAGGAGGAGGTCGAAGAAGAAGAAGAGTCGGTGAGCCATCCAAGTCCGGTTCGACAGCCTCGAACACCGGACGGGCCACCGCCGGCTAAGCGACCGCAAACCCGCGACACCCAGCGGGGACGGGCGGTCTGGGGGCGTGCACTGGAGTTGAACCTCCGCATCGTCGCCCTAGCCAACGAACGGGCCCAGCGATTGACGATAGAAAATTGGAAATTAGAGAGCCCGTTCCAAGTGCGAAAGTTTGCGGCCGACGAACTTTGCGAGCAGCGGAATCTCAAGGGCACCGTTGCACTGGCCGCCATTCGCGAATTGTGGAAGACCCCCAACGAACAAGGAAAAAGAGGATCCAACGAGGCCTGTAGTTCTTGTGACGAACGGCGGCAGGCACAGCTGCCGGTGGTGAAGGACTACATCAAGCGGCGAGGACTTAAGGGACCTGCCGTTCTTGGATCGAGCGCCAAGTCCAAAGCGGCGCCAGCTGTGAGCCTGACACCTGGGCCGAAAGTGAAGGCCAAATCAAAGGCCGGACCAAAAGGAAAGGCCAAACCATCTGCCGCACCAAAAGTAGCGGCTGAAGCGAAGGCCACAACTGTGGGTCGTCGCCCGGAAGAACTCACACGGACTACTGTTGAAGTCCGTGGAGTGCCAAAACCTTCCGATCCTTGACCGGGCGAACCGCCCGCGACTGCCGCTGGAAAAGGAGTGAGCGGCAGCAGCAGCAGGGGTTGAGGGCAAGAAACCATGGAACAACAGATCCAACAATTGAGTGAAATGGTACTTCAACTCCAACAGAATCAAGCGAGGTTGGAGCAAGAGAATCAAGTTTTGAGGGAGTCTCAAGGTGGGGTATCAATGCTAGCTTCAGCTGTCGGAGAATTGGCTAAAAGCCTTGAGAGGAAAGATGATAGGAAGAAGTCCCAAATCCTCATGGACACCAAAGGGTTAGGACGCCCCGAAAGTTTTGGAAATGTTGAAGGGGATTTTCGGAAATGGGCCAGGAGCATTGATAACCTGTTCATAACTACTTTTGGGAGAGAGTTCATTGAAGTCCTGGAGTATATTTTGGAGCAGGAAGACGCGATTGAAATGAGTGCTATGGAGTCCGCATTTGGGACTGGAACCATAGCAGCTATCGATGATTTGGAGGATAAAGCTGACCAAATTCATCGCGTGCTCCTGACCCTGACCTCGGGTGAAACAGAGGATTTGATGGTAGGAGCTTCAAATGGGTTTGAAGCATATCGGCGAGTTCACCGCCGTTGGGATCCCCGAACCTCGGGACGGAAACGCAATATACTTCGAGCGATTCTCCAACCGGAGAGAGTCAAGACATGGGCCGCGGTGAGGCCAGCGATCGAACAGCTCGAAGAGCTCATCAGGCGGTACGAGTCCCGGAGGAGTGCCGCAGGGATTAGGGAAACCCTATCGGACGATATCAAGTCCGCTTCATTGGAGATGCTGGTACCCCCAGATTTGGAGAAACATCTTTTGTTGAACAAGAGTAGATTGACAACCTATTCGTTGATCAAACAGGAGATCGAACTTGTCATTGAAACATCCCTCACATCAAAGTCATCTGTTCCAAAACCAGGTTCATCAAGTTCAAGTTACCAAGGACCTCAACCCATGGACGTCGATTCGATCGGACAATGGATCGCAAGCCTGGTCAAAGGAAAAGGTAAAGGAAAAGGTAAACAGGCCAAAGGTGATGGAAAGAAAGGCTCAAGCAAAGGGGGTTCAAGTAAAGGCTCAAACCCGGCTCAAGATATTACCTGCTACAATTGCGGTAAGAAAGGACACCGAGCGGCCGATTGCTGGAGCAAGAAACGGCCGGATGGAAAAGGCGATAAGTGGTCAGGTTCAGGCAAAGGAGACAAGAGTGGTAAAGGTGGCAAAGGCAACAAAGGCAAAGGTGGAAAAGGCGGCAAAGGTAAAGCCGCAGGAAGTATGGAAGAGATGGACGAACCGGATGATGGCATTGAGCCAGCTCCGGAAGCCGATGTCGGCATGCTCATGGCAGACTTGAGTGGAATTGGAATGGCGGACACCTCATCCGCCGAAGAATGGATGAAGTTTAACCTGGACACTGGAGCAGCCCAGACAGCCATCCCGAATGGCTGGGAGGATCGAGTGGTTGTCAGTGAAGGCAACGGAGTTGTGTTCAAGACTGCATCAGGAGAGTTGGTGCCCAGTCAGGGCATTGGAACCTTTGAAGGGTTCGACGAGAGCGGCAACAAATGCCGTGTGAAAGGTTCAATGGCTGATGTTCACAAGCCATTGATTTCAGCATCCAAGTGCTTAGGCTTTGGAAGGATTGCAGTTCTTGATGCAAAAGGCGGAAACTTGATTCCGCAAGGGTCCAAAGTTGGAAAGGCTGTCCAGGCGATCCTGGAGAAAGCGAACGCTGCAGAGCAGCGGAGTTGGATCCCTGTGTATCAGGAGCAGGGAGTGTACAACTTCTACTTGAGAAAGCCAGGGTATAAACCGACAAAGGAATGCTGTGGCATTGCAGAGTTGAACGCCGCAGGAGAAAGAGGAGATGCCTCTATGGATTCAGGCCGACCTGGTCCAGAGGGGCGAGAAGAGGATGATGAGTTGGAATTAGTTGATGAGGTTGAGAAACCCATCCAGATAAGAGCGCCGGAGGATCCAACCCCGGCCGAGATCGAAGAGCGCGAGGCGACAGGCCATGTGCAATATCGAAGTTGGTGCCGGCATTGCATTGCTGGACGGGCTGTGGGACAGCCACATCGGACGAGGTCCGAGGAAGAGAAGGCCAAGAGCCTTGTGCCCACAGTGGCAATGGACTACACGTTCATGTCACGGGGCGGTGTGGAGGACGAGCGAGTGAAGCCGATCCTCGTAGTGAAGGATGAGAGGACACAGTCCTTAGCGGCGACCTTCGTGGACTCGAAGGGAGCGACGCCGTATGCAGTGAAGTTCGTGGCGAACTTCCTGAAGAACTTGGGACACCGCAAGGTGGTCCTCAAGTCAGATGGTGAGCCATCAGTGGTAGCCTTGAAAGAGGCAGCGGCGAAAGAAACCGGCATAGACTGGGTTTCGGAAGAGTCGCCAGTAGGAGACCATCAAGCAAATGGTCTGGCAGAGAACGCCTGCAAGGAGGTCAAACGTCAAGTACGAGTCCTCCGCAGCGCGTTGGAAGAGAAGCTCGGCAAAGAGCTCAAAGATGATGATCCTGCATTGGCATGGCTGCCAAGACAGGCAGGAGACCTGTTGAGCAGGTACAAGAAAGGTCAAGATGGCAGAACGCCTGAGGCCAGAAGATGTGGAAAGCAATGGCGGAAACCTGCCATAGCCTTTGGCGAACGCCTATACTTTAGGGAAGTAGGCGAGGGAGTTCGCATCCTGAAAGAAGGACGCTATGTAGGACACCATGGCCGAACAGGATCCATTTTGGTGATGACGGCCGATGGCGTGCGAAGAGGCGCAGGAATCCGGCGGCTGAGTTCAGCCGACCGCTGGGACCCAAGTGATTGGGACCTTTTGCGGGGCTTACCGTGGGAACATTCCGCGGCAAGGCCTGCCGGTGAGCAGTTGATGCTCGAAGAGCGCCTTGTGGTACCACCTCCCAAGGAGGAACGAGTGGCACCACCACAACAGAGGCGAGTGTACATCAGGAGAGAGGATGTGCACAAGCATGGAGCCACAGAAGGCTGCCCAGGATGCAAGTGCATCTTGGAAGATAAGAGGACGACCTTGCCGCACACAGAGGCATGCAGAGCAAGGATCACCGAAGCAATGGAAAAAGATGAAGCTGGGCAAGCGAGACTTGAAGCCCATGCAAAGAAGAGGAAAGAACGGCAACAGATTGACACTGTGAAGCCGAAAGTCGTGGCCGACAAAGACTCCGACATCCCAGCCGAAGACGCGGCTGGGGAACCAGAAAAGAAGGAAGAAGCAACGAGCGCAAGGTCGGGAAGCTCCCCGCCAGCAGCAGCAGAGGGTGAGAAAACCTATCCCGATGACCCGAAAGAGAGATATGAGATGAAGAGGCAAGCAGCCGAGATAGAGAAGAAGCCAGTGGCGAAAGCCAAGGTAGCAACAGAGCCCAAGAAGAGAACAGGAGAACTTCGGATAGATCCACCTGGGGCAAAGGTCAAGCCGAATCCAGTTCAAGGAACAAAGAGGTCCGCAGAGACCGCCGTAGAAGACCTTGATCCCAGAGTGGAAGAGAGTCCAAAGAAAACGTCTCAGTTTTCACATGTTCCAGAAACACCACCAGCAGGGTGGAGGCCAGATGCAGCCAGCTTGGTAAAAGAGAAGGAGATCGCAAAGCAGCATCTGAGGAAGGTCATTCAAGGAACCTATGAGGCGAGTGGCATTGAGATCTCTGAGCAAGAGATCGGAGACATCGCTCACTTGAGCATGCAGATGTCAGCAGTAGATATCATGGAGATCTACTCGCCCAAGAGGTTCACTGCGCTTGCAGAGCGCTACAAGTTGCGACCGGGTTTTGCGGTCGACTTGAATGAAATGAAAAGTGATGGAACATACTGGGACTTGAACAAGCCTGAAGATGTTCAAGAAGTGCATGACATCCTTGAGAAGGACGAACCGGCGCTTTTGACTGGTTCGCCACCGTGCCATATGTTCTCGCAGCTCCAGAACCTTAACTGGAGAAGCATGGCACCGGATGTCCGGAGGAGAAAGATGGACGAAGCCGTCCACCATCTTCATACGAGCGTAGAGCTGTATGTCAAGCAGCATCGCTGAGGGAGAAAATTCCTCCACGAGGCACCTTGGTCCGCGACCAGTTGGAAGGATGAGAAAGTCGCGGCCTTAGCAGAGGAAGATGGAGTGTTCATAGTGAAGGGTCCAATGTGTAGGTGGCAAATGATGGCCACCGACCGAAGAGGACTCCAAGGCACTGGCTATGTGAGAAAGGAGACCGGTTGGATGACCAACGACGAAGGGTTAGCCAGAGTCTTGCAAGGAGTCTGCTCGAATGAGTCGGGCAAAGGACCATGGCACCGACACATCCATCTGATCGGAGGCATTGCAAGGCAAGCAGCGGTATACCCACCGCCGCTCGTGAAGGCAGTGCTGAGGAGCCTGCGTGACACACTAGCTGAGAAAGGTGAGTTGAACACCTTTGATTTGTTTGCAGCAGGCCCAGTTCCAGAGATGCCTCTGATGGAACCTGAGTTCGAAGAGATTTACATGGATGATGTGAACGGCGGCATTTTGCCAGCCGAGAAAGTGAAAGAGGCAAGACGCCTTGAAATGAATTATTTGAAAGAAAAGCATGGTGTTTATGTGACCCGGCCGAGAGCCGAATGTTTTGAGGAAACGGGGAAACCCCCGATTCCAGTCAGATGGTTGGACACCAACAAGGGAGATCCAACAAACCCGAACTATAGGAGCCGATTAGTTGTGCGTGAGATAAAGGCAAGAAAGACCAAAGAAGAACAATTGCCAGCCAACTTGCTTTTCAGCAGCACGCCACCATTGGAGGCGATGAGACTGCTGTGCTCGTTGTGGGCAACAAAGAGAAAGTCCTGCCACAACCAGCCGCTGAAGCTGGGCTTGTGGGACATCTCACGAGCACACTTTTATGGAACTCCAAAGAGAAAGATCTACATAGAGCTGCCGCCTGAGGACGAAGCCAGCAAAGATGGACAAACCTGTGGACTTCTCGTGAAGTCGATGTATGGAACACAGGATGCTCCAAATATCTGGCAGACGCACTACACAGAGACTCTGCAGAACGCTGGTTTCCGCAGAGGCTTGTCAAATGCATCAGTCTTCTACCAAGAAGCTTGGGACGTCAGAGTGATGGTGCATGGAGATGACTTCCTAGCACTTGGAGACGCCCAACACTTGGAGAAGCTCAGCCAAGTCCTCAAAGATGCCTATGAGCTGAAATGTCTCGGAATTCTTGGAGACGAGGATGGAGACCGAACAGAAGCTCATTTTCTGAATCGGTTAGTCCGAGTCGAAAAGAAGAACGGCAAAGGGTCGATTGTGATCGAAGCCGATCGGAGACATGTTGATCTTTTGATCCAGGCATTTGGTCTGGAAAAGGCAAATGGTGTAGAATCACCAGATGTCAAGAAGTCGGCAGATCAGCAGATGCTGGAAAGCCGCAGTCCGCTGCTTGATAAGAGCGAGGCATCGAAGTATCGTTCAGCAACGATGCGTGCTGCGTACTTGTCCCAAGATCGACTTGATATTGGGCACGCAGTCAAGAACCTTGCTCGAGGTATGGTATCACCAACGGAAGCCAAACTTGCTGACTTGAAGCGTCTCATCAGGTACTTGAAGAAATACCCTGATGTTGGGCAATGTTTTGGTTCGCAGCAGATACCCTCAAGGCTGAGGGTGCAGGTCGATGCTGACCATGGTGGTGACGCTGTGACGCGCAAAAGCACGACTGGCATGGTTGCTATGTACGGCATGCACGTGTTGAAACACAGTAGTAACATCCAATCCACTGTAGCCCTTTCTACAGGTGAGAGTGAATACTACGCACTTGTGAAAGGAGGATCTGTGGGCTTAGGCCTTCAAAGCCTATGCGCAGACCTTGGTTTGGATTTGGGAGTCACCATCGAGGGCGATTCCAATGCAGCCAAAGGAACTGTGAATAGAGTGGGTTTGGGTAAAGCCAGACACATCCAAACTCGCTACCTATGGTTGCAAGAAAGGGTCGCCGAAGGCCACTTGAAAGTGCACCACGTTCCAGGTCTCAAGAACAAAGCCGATGTTTTGACCAAATCGGTTCCTGGGGTGCAGCTTCGCAAAACCATGGAGGACCTGCAATATGCATTCCTCAGCAAGCGAAGCAAAGGACAGTTAGATGTTTTGGAGTAAGGTCCCTGGCCAAGCTCCACTACCACAACTGAAAGTGGCTAAGCAGCGAGAGTTTCACATGTTTACTTTTATGCTTGCGCAGCAGTACAGTGCTTTGCAAGAGGAGGAGTGTTAGTATGTACAGCCCATATATACTCCGCTATAGGTACTGCAGACACGTGACTCTTGACGTATTTTGGCTCAAGGGAAAAAGGCGTTCCGTAACGTCGAAACCTCGTTTTCATAGTTACATACGATTCAAGACTGTCAAGTGTCGTTTTGGTCAGGTTCTTGATCCTTAAATGAAGGCATCAATTTGATTGTTCTCGACTTTGAAGTCGCAGCATTAAGGCAACCCAAAATGGGATGACCAACGAAGAGTGCACCAGCAAGACCTTCATCGTTTTGTGCAAACGCGTAGGTGCAAGTAGCTTCGCGTGGGTAGAATTTGATGTCATGTGAATGATCTCATGATCACCTCAGAGCCTGCCTTTTCGCAAGTGACATACATGAGTTCTTCGCAAGTTGGACAATATTGGACACATTTGGACCATAAATCAACTTGTTTGCAACTGCTTAGTCTCCAAGATAGTGATAATGTTCAGCAGTGTGACCATGTCAGATATTTGGCATAATGGCATAATGTTTCCAAAAGTTTGTGCTTTGTCATTCCGGTCTTCGAACTTGATATTGATATGATTGTTTTTTTCCTGAGCAAGTGAGAAGTAGTAAGTAGATGTAAGTAGTAGTGAATTTGAGAACCTTCTTGGAGACTTGGTTGGCTACTCATGCAATTTGGATAAATTCAACTTGTGGGCAGCGACTCCGCTGTTTGGAGCGTGGTTACGAGATGTTACGAGCGATTTTTCAGAAGCTCTTGGTGGCTATGTCTTCTTATTGTATGGGTGATGGTCCGATATTCACGCGTTCGACTTCGAAGATGACGTAGGATAAGAAAGGAATGGAATCGAACAAGACAGTTGGTCTTTAGTACTACTAGCTTCTTGTTACTACCAGTAAGGCACTTGTTACCTACTAGCGTGGCACTTGTTTCTACTAGCGAACATTGTTACCAGTTTGGTCTTCCGAACTCAAGAAAGCAGATAATTCATGATAATTCCGGTGCTTTGCAACCCAGGCGAGTGGTGCGATATTCCATCCCCCTGGATGATGTGTCTGGCAGTGTGAGATAGCACGACAGGTGACATTTTAGTGTACATAATCCATTTTTTTGGCAAAATCGCCGTGCTGCACCTTGGTGTTTCTTCTTATTGCAGTTCATGCTGGTGATTCACTCGATCGAACTTGAGAGCGACCGCACTGTGTGATCGATCGAACGGTTCGTTTGTGCCACCTGGGCTCCCAGCTGCCCCGCGGCCCATCGCGCAAAGTCGCCGTCAGTGACCGGGTCGCAAGTGCCTCGCCTTTTGCAGGCAACAACCAAAGCCACGCAAGGACCAAACGTGCGAGCCGTCCCACTTGCAACCAAGAAGCGGGCGATTTGTTATCACTCCGCAGTTTGGGAGGCAATGACAGGGCCTGCAGAAGCAGCCCATGACGAAGTACCAGGAATACCGGACTCCGACAAGGCCATTTACTTCGACCCTCAGACCTCCTGCCGAAAACGAGAAAAAACAATAGAAAAAGAAAGGGCGCCCCACCTGGACTGCCTTGTTCGCTGAAACTCGGGACACTGCCTTGTTGGAGGTCTATCTTGGGGCAGTGAAGTCGTACAACGACCGCAGGGGCTTTGGTTTTGTCGCATGCCTCTCGACCCGCAAGTGGCTTTGGGTCGAGCCGAGTCGCTTGCTGAGCTGCTTTTCTTTAAGGCCCTTGGCCTTACCTCCTTCCTTAATTAAGTAGGCACCTATATACTTAATTAAGGGAGTCAACAAGCTGCTAGCTACTCAGACGCTGCTACCTACCGGACGCAGGATAGTTCACGCTTCTTCAAGGAAGCTCCCGCCTGAGGGCGGGGGAGAGCTTCCTTGAAGCGCTCACACTGATTTGGTTCGATTTTTACGCAAACCTAACAAGTACAGTATCAAAAAGCTACTAGGGGCTCCTGGCATCGCGACTAGGAGCAAGGACGCTACTAGGGGCTCCTGGCCTTACTACTAGTAACAAGAAGCTACTAGTGACAAACATAAAGCATGATTCAAGTCGTGAAGACTCGACCCGTGTTTTGCGTGTGTGTTTTTCGTACAGATTTCCTTCTTAATGTACATGGAGCAGAACCTTGCGAGTTGACTTGGGAAAGAGCTGACCAGAGTTCTTCCGAAAAACTTTCAGGTGCTGAAACGGCTGCAGAGTTTGGGAGAGACGTGCGCTTTGATCCAGGCACCTTGTTAACAGCTATTGTCACATGCTATGTTTGCAGGTATATATGGCCAAACTTGAGGCGTGCTGAGCGTTACTTGAGAGTTCGCTTTAGTTCATTGGCTCTATCCTCATGTTTACTCGTTGCACTGAAAGCATTGATCAACTTCCTTTCCCTCCTGCCCTGCAGACATCTCAGCTGAGACACTCTTTAACATCACAGACCAGCTACACGAGCAACCGTCAAGACACGGTATGAAGAGCACAAGAGAAACAAATCTGAAGAATGTGCAAAGAAAGTGATGGAAGCGATGGGGCCTTAAAGCGGTGCCTCCCCTCCAAGCTGAACCTCCCCTCCAAGCTGAAGTCTATTTTTCTCTCTCTCTCTCTATATAAAGTTGCCCAAAACTGGGAAGTGCATACAAGGAGTTTTGATGGCCGCACACATGAAACCAAGCATTGAAACACTGGTCCGGACGAGTAAGCATTTTGTGCTGGCTGCCGGTGTACCCTGTGCATGACATCGAGGCCGCATAATGTTTGTGATGACATTCATACAAACAGCTATTGGCTCGCATGTCAGGATGAGCAACCTTGATGAGGCATGTATGGAGTTTCGTGTGTTGCTGCCACCGCTTGCTTTCTTGGAAGACGGAGACTCTTTCTTGGCATTACCAGTTTCTCATGTGTTCTTGCAGACTTTGGTGAAACTAGCCGGCGAGTTGACGGGTGACCCTGAGACGAAGGCGCAGCAAGTTTCTGCACCAGTCGCGTGCAGTCAACTGTCCACGTGAGTTGAGGCATTTTATGGCAACGTGGAAGCTCTCCAGGAACCAAACCTTCATTCATCCCTGAGTCACAGCATTTTGCACTCACTCCAGCTGATGTTGCTGATGTTTTGAGCAGTGCGAGGACAGCATCATCGAACTTTGTCAAAAAGCTTTTCACAGATTCTGTGGTCAGACCAAAGGAGGCGACGTCGTAGTCCTGTCATAGTGGGATATTGTTTCAATCTTTTTCATGCAGATTACATGGCATAATTGGTCATTTCATTGACATCAGCATCTCCTGCGTGGGTTTTTGAGGACCAGCTGGTCAGCTGTTGCCGATCAGTGTGAACCAGATTGGTTTCCAGAATGCTCAAGCTTCGCTCCGAAGGGGGGAGGCCTGGACATGTCGGCCTGGAGTGTAACATGGAAGTGGATTTTCCACTTCCATGATCATTTCAGGGACTGTGTAATCTTGGAGAGCTGACGTTGGATAAGAACCTTCTCTTTGGCCTTCAAGGTCAGCGCAAATCTTTAGTTTAGTCCATATCGACAATGTAAACTCTATTTTTACGTCTTGTACCATGCAAACCAGCGCTCCCCAACCACCAGAAGCAAGCCACACTCAGCTGACAAATGTTCTTGGCTGATCCCATTTTTTGACTCGATTCTAGTTGTGTGGATTTGTTTGTTTGAAGGTGTTTGACTTGGTCTATGTGGTGCCAGAGTCAGTTGCTCTTTGGGAGATGCTTCAGGCGAGCCAAGGAGATGAGTCCGATTTTGCATGGCCTTGGCGGATTCTTTGGGCTTTCTTTCGGATAGTTACTAGAAAGCTTTCTTGTTACTGTACTGAGAAGCTTCATAGACATACAAAAAACCTTTGCTACTACAGGTGAAACGATTCCCACTGCCAAGGTCCTGGAGAATGAAGTGGAGAAAGTCGCCCAGGCCATCAGAGACACGAATTCATCCTTCGGCGCCTCGTTGCGCTTTCGGCGGAAGCTGTCAAGGCAGTACGAACTGCTGGAGGGGATGGCATGCTGCATTCTCCGGGCCTGGAGTTCACATATGAAGGCAGACATTTGCGCGACCGCTGCGCAGGGCCAGCCCATACGTTGCTGTTTTTCAAGCCATAAAACGAGCGAGCGCTGAGGGCTTGTGTTGTCCGAAGAAGCCGAAAAAAACCGAGGTGCAGCAGTAAAACTGCTGTTGGCAAATGACGCCGATGTTTCAAAGATTTCGCCGGACACGGTCAATAGCAGGGTGCAACTTGGCAAAACCTTGGAGTGAACTGGGTTAACCGCGAATGCTACATTCGCTGTGCTGAAGGGCGGGCCTCATCGCCAGATTGGTGTCGAAAAGTATTCTTGACTCAGCACCTCTTCTGCAGAAGTAGTTTCCAATGGTTCATCGTGTCATATAGACTTGTAGAGTTTTCAGTCATTGTTGTCATTCCGCTTTTTTGTAGTCCTACTCAGGTGCCAGATCTAGGCGCTTTTCACGGTTTGTTGAAGCGAGGGCCTGAAAGCTGAATATTGACAACTCTTGACTAGGAGCAAGGACGCTACTAGGGGCTCCTGGCCTTACTACTAGGAGCAAGAAGCTACTAGGAGCAAAGGGCATCGCTACTAGGAGCAAGGACGCTATTAGGGGCTCCTGGCCTAGCTGCTGGTTTTCTCCCTTCATCGTCCAAGGTGCATCCGCCTTTGGGCAAAGCAACGTGGTCTATATGGCCCATCGAGCCTTGGCTGCGACACGACACGAATCAATCGCCTGTTTCGCACGGATGCATCGCGCTGATCTCACGTGAGATCATGCGCTGATGCTAAGGCATGACTTTGGTTACATTGGTGGAATGGGCTGGGCAATTTGCTGTGCACACATTTGCCAAGCCAATCCGCAGCTTGTTGGAAGCAGTTCTTGAAGAGTCCATTCTCGACAGGCTCCGACTCCAGATTGTCCAACAAGCGCGCACACATGTACTGGGCGGCTCTTATTGCAGAATTCGTTACTTACCTGTGCCATACATTCCTTTTGACGTCTGTCCCACTTGTTCAGATTTTGCGACTTGGCGCTCCGTGACCGGACACAGCCAATCCACGACAGACTTGAATCGGTCAATCCATCCAATTCCAACAGCACCGGCCGAAGAGTTCAGCGCTAGGCCGGTTCGCGTGCGTTGTTTTGCTAAGGGGTACCCTTTCGTGCCCACGCAGGAAAAACGGTAACACATAGAAAACAAACGGTAAAAAACAAGGGGCGCCCCCCCGCGTACAAACGGTTAAAAAAAGAAACAAAAAGCACATCTCGATTTTTTCCGCTTTTACCGCGGATATGGTAGAATAGACGGGGCGACCCCCCGGTAAAATTGGTAGAAAAAGACAAGAATCGATTTGTTTTTACCGCGGATATGGTAGAAAATAGGGGGCGACCCCCCCGCTAAAACGGTGTACAAACATACAACATTTGACTCCCCAAACAGCTTTGTTGTGAGGCGTTCTCAATTCTTGCATAGAAACGATGCTGGGCCAAGATGATTCCCGCCCTTTGTCTCCCCTTGTCTCTCCTTGTCTCCCATGGCGTGTCTGGATGCTGGGCTGAGATGATTTTGCTTT